TTCTGGGGGGGAGCCCGGGGTCACACGAGGGCACCGGCAGAGCCCGTGCCACCCGGTGTCCCGCGGGGAACAGCTCTGAGCCCCTCTGCCCGCCTGAGAGAGCCCCGCACTCCTTGCCGCCATCACCGGAGCACGATCACGGCGTTCGGCCTTCGGGGCATCCCGCCAGCTCTTGAGGTGGCGAAGGGGTGATTTTCTTGAGAAAGGGCTCCCGTGGCTCTGTGCGTGGCCTTGTGAAGCAGGTACAGGAGGAGCTGGCCCTGTGGGGATTAGAGCAGAGATAACAGAGAGAATCCAGAGCGGTTTGGGTGGAAGGAGCCTTCAGCATCACCCAGTGCCACCCCTGCCATGGCACCCACACCTTCCGCTGTCCCGGGTGCTCCGAGCCCCGTCCAGCCTGGCCTGGGACACTGCCAGGGATGTGGAAGCTGTGCCAGGGCCTTCCCACCCTCACAGGGCAGATATTCCATCTAGCCCTTTTCCATCAATATTCCATCTAACCTTGCCCTCTGGCAGCCTGAAGCCATTTCTCCCTGTCCATCTCTGCCTCCTTGTCTGAACTATTTACCAACAAGATTAAGAAATGCTGGCAATGATTTCCTTTTGCATGTGAAAAATTACGGGGAAAAGTTTAGAATTTGGGAGAGGCAAAGTGTGGAATGTCAATGAAATATTTACTGCTTCTGCTAACAGGTTTTTCCTGCATCTGGGAATTAGGACTCTGGGTGGTTCATGGCAGGAATCAGCATGTGGGAGTCTTCTCAGTAGCTGGTTCCTGCTCTTCCCAGAAAAGGCAAGGTAAAAATGCTGCAGCTTTCTGTGGACTTCAGATATTTCAGTGCTGAGAGTCTTAAAAAAAATATATTAATAAGGAACATTAAAAATCCGTGGAGTCTTAGAGGTTTTTGAACCGGTATTTTAGTGACAACGTCTCCTGGGTGACCTGAGCTGGAGCCACAGACCCCGTAACCCTGCCCTCTGGCAGCCTGAAGCCATTCCTCCCTGTCCATCTCTGCCTCCTTGTCTGAACTATTTACCAACAAGATTAAGAAATGCTGGCAATGATTTCCTTTTGCATGTGAAAAATTACGGGGAAAAGTTTAGAATTTGGGAGAGGCAAAGTGTGGAATGTCAATGAAATATTTACTGCTTCTGCTAACAGGTTTTTCCTGCATCTGGGAATTAGGACTCTGGGTGGTTCATGGCAGGAATCAGCATGTGGGAGTCTTCTCAGTAGCTGGTTCCTGCTCTTCCCAGAAAAGGCAAGGTAAAAATGCTGCAGCTTTCTGTGGACTTCAGATATTTCAGTGCTGAGAGTCTTAAAAAAAATATATTAATAAGGAACATTAAAAATCCGTGGAGTCTTAGAGGTTTTTGAACTGGTATTTTAGTGACAACGTCTCCTGGCTGACCTGAGCTGGAGCCACAGACCCCTGGTGGCTCCTGGAGGGAGCAGTGACAAAAAAGTCCCTTTTTTCTGAAGTCTGCTGCAGTGGTTTCCAGCTCAGCAGAGCCCTGAAGGTTCCACCACCCCATGGCTGCTGGATGGCACATGTGAAACAGCTCCAAAGGGTCTCAGCTGAACTCCCAGCCCCTCCAGCTGCACTCCAGGAAGATCCAGGTGGATGCTCTGCAATGAATTCAGTGCTCACACGCTGCTGCTCAAGAGGTTTTAGCGAATGGAGTCACTTTCATTTGCTATTTGAAATTATTTGCTGTTTGTTTCTGCTCCCCTGCAGCCCAGTGCAGGAGTGCAGGCCAGGTGAAACACAAAAGTTTTGGGGCAGCTGTGCCCAGCAAACGCAGAGGCCGCACACAGAGGGATCAGGGGGAGCATTATCAGGCCTCTCGCTGCTCTCCGTGGGATTTCTCGGCGCTGTTGGGTGGAGTTTTTGTGGCGTTTTCTGCCTCGGACACACGGTGGCGATGGAAATCACCTTTTCCTGCACAGCTTCGGGCTTTGGACTGCTCGGTAACCACACGCATGTGTCTCCGAGCAGGGAAGGATGAAATATTCCTGTTCAGTCCCAAATAAACGCTGACATTTCAATTGGCCGAGGCTCCAGAGAATCCAGAACGCTTTCTCACAAGCACTGATATTATTTAAATTAAGATGCTTGTGTTTAAAACAAGAGCCAATGGAGCCTCGAGGGCTGGTGTTTGGCTTTAAGAAGTGATCTGACCTTTCTCTCTGTCCCTTGGCTGCCAGGACACGAGTGCTGCCAGGCTGGCAGTGTCACCGACCCCCTCACCCGGGCTGATCCGTCCTGTGTTTGCACTGGGGGTGTCATCAGAGCCTGGTCAGGAGAGGTGGAACCAGCACTTGGCGTCACGAGAGGTAAAAACATTTCCCCTGTGTGTTTTGGAGTTCATTAACTCAGGCTAAACTTCCTTTTTTTGAGAGAGCAGAGTGGCATGAGTTCACGGTGCACATGCTTGGAAGTGGTGGAATGAGGGTAAATAACTGTGTCCAGTTTTGGAGCAGCACAGGGAAAGGTGTCAGGTGCATTTACCACCCCTCCTCCAAAGCAGAACGTGGTCATGATTCAAACATTTAAAAAGAAAACCATTGGAAAGTGTGTCTGAACCCTGTGAAACGAGTAAAACACAGATTATTCCTGCCCAGACTTGAATCCCAGGATCGTTATGTTGGAAAAGACCTCCCAGATGGAGTCCAGCCTGGCTTGTCACCCAGCCCAGAGCACTGAGTGCCACATCCAGGCATTCCTGGGACAGCTCAGGGAATGGGGACTCCACCACTGTCACTAGTTTAATTTCATGGAATCTCCTGAGTTGGAAGGGACCCACAAGGATCAGCCTCACTTTCTCCAGCTGATCATTCCACGTGCCCTCAGCCTCTCCTCACATGCCTTCCCCTCCAGACCCTTCACCATCTTCGTAGCCCAAAAAAGGTCCAAATCCACGCTGGATTTTTAAGGTTAATTCTTTAACTTGCTCTTTCCACGTGTCCATGCCTCTCTGTGCCCTTGAATGGAGGAGCTGCTGCAGGATTTCAGGGAGTGAAGCAATCCCTCCCCCAGCAGTGTTTGGACAGGGTTTGCAGCTGGATGGATGCGCTGGGCTGGGCGGGCAGGCAGAGTGCAGGTGCAGGTTTTAGCAGGTCTGGAGCTCTGGGAGCAGCAGCCAGGATAACTCAGCAGCTGTTGTAATCTCCTGGTTTGGTAAGTTCTGTATGTAGTTATTATCAGTGATTTGGGACCAGCCCCTCAGCAAGCCAAGCACTCCCCCTCACTTGTGCAGCGCTTGGGATTTAGCACTGCAGAGGATTAACCAACACCAAGCCCTTCTCTTCAGCTCCTCCATGAAATACTTAAAGAGGAGGATTCTTTATGTGAAAGGCACATCTATAGCTATGTACTTATCTCTACAGAGGTATAAATAAAAGTGTCCATGCCCAAATTTTCCAGGTTTAGTCCAAGTGGATGTAAGAATATGGTCTGTTCTCCCAATAATTTTATTAACTCCAAAGCTCCAAATTTGCATTTTCTGGCTGGGTATTTCTTGCTTGCAGTGGGCACCCATCCCACCACGTGCAGTTTCCTGCAGTCTCACACCTTCTAACCACTGCCTTGGTGGAAATCATCTGTATTTGGGAGCAGTGGATCCCACTTCTCTGCAGATCCTCGGGCACCTCCAGCAGGATCAGCCTGCACAGCTCACCAGGTCCAGCAGCATTAGCATTTAAACTTTTGTTACTCGTTCCATTTCAATCTCAGCAACCCTGTAATGGCGCAGACTTCAAATAAAACCCAAAATGTGAAAAGAAGGAAGAGGGGGAGTTCTTTGACCCATTGTCAGCGGGCAGAACAAGCAGCTGAAGGTCAGAGACAAGCAGGAGAGGCGCTGGCAGTGCCTGGCCCTGCTTGGCTGTGTCCTCAGCACCTGTTATCAGCGCTGTCCTCCCTGCCTGTGCCAAGGCGGGGACAGGCCAGTGTCCCCGAGCCACGCGGGCCCCTCGTGCGCAGGCTCGGCCTGGGCTCTGCTGCTCCCACGCTCACGGGGATCACGAGAGGCAAAAACACAAAGTTCCACCTGAACATGAAGGAAAACTGCTGTGCAGGTGATGGTCCCGTCCCTGCTGCAGGAGTCACGCTGGAGTGTGCGCGCTCAGGACACTGCACACCCTGCCCGGGCTCTGTTCCCGCACACCATCACCCGCACAGCAAAGTTCTTCCTCGTGTTCAGGTGGAACTTTGTGTGCATCAGTTCCTGCCTGTTTTCCCTTGTGCTGTTGCTGGGCGCCATCGAGAAGAACCTGGTCCGGCTTGGCCCCCCACCGCGGACACCGACGGGCACTGGCGAGGTCCCTTCTGTCACCTCGTGTCGAGGCTGAGCAGGCCCAGCGATGCTCCCGCTGCCCCGGCTGTCCCCGCTACCCCGGGTGTCCTGGCTGTCCCAGGGATCGCGGGGGTCCCGGGGGTCGCGGCTGTCCCGGCTGTCCCCGGCTGTCCCGGGGGTCGCGGGTTCGAGCCCGGCCGCGGCCCCGCCCGGCGCTCAGGCCACGAGCATCGCCCCACGGGCCCCGCCCCCGCGGCACCTCCCCATTGGTCACGCCCCCCGCCGCGGCCCGGGGCGGGCGGGACCTGGCCGGGCGCCGCGCCGGCGGGAGGCGGCCGGGCCATGCCGTGCCGTGCCGTGCCGTGCCGGCGGGAGATGGCGGCATGCCGAGCCGAGCGGCGCTGGGCCGAGCTGAGCCGGGACGCGCGGGGGTCTCCCGGGCCGGAGCCGCCCCTGCCCGCCGCAGGAGCCGCCGCCCGGTTCCCCCCGGTCCCACGCGCTCCGCCCGGGCCGTTCCGGGCGGCCGTGAGCCGGTCCCGTCGCTCGCGTGGCCTGGCCGGTCCCCCGTACCCTGAAACGAACAGCACGTGGGCGGCGGAGCGTCCGGCACCGAGCGCCCCGGGCTGGGCCCGGGCATCCCTGCTCCATCCTTCCCGCTGCTGTCCCGGGGAGTTTCGGGATCCTGGGGACCTGCCGAGGGGCATCCCTGCTCCATCCATCCCGCTGCTGTCCCCAGAGAGTTTCGGGATCCTGGGGACCTGCCGAGGGGCATCCCTGCTCCATCCATCTCGCTGCTGTCCCCGGGGAGTTTCGGGAATCCTGGGGAGCAGTTTGGGTCTGGTCCTGCCCTGAGATGCTCAGAACCAGCGAAGTTTTAAAAGCAGATTGGCTCACCAAACCAAACTGTTGTGCTTGCCCTTCCATTCTCCTACATATTCTTGAAGAAGTTTAAAATGAGAAGTGCTGTGTTGGAAAGTATCTGAAGCGTGAGTGGAGTCTGTTCCAGTTTAGCAGGCAGGAAATATTCAGCAAAGTGTTTAAGTGATGCCAAAATCTCTCCAAGACAGTGGGATTCAGACAGTCCCGAGTGTTTTAGCAAACCGGGATAGCTGTAAATACAGGCTGTTGTTTTGGTCTCTAGAGGTTTAGGCTGGATAATGGGAAACAGTTCTTCCCTGGAGGGTGCTGGCACTGCCCAGGCTCCCCAGGGCACAGCCCGAGGCTGCCAGAGCTCCAGGGATGCTCAGGGTGGGATTTTGGGGTGTTGTGCAGGGCTGGATGATCCCTGTGGGTCCCTTCCAACTCAGGATGTTCCACGATTCTGTCATTCTACATCCACAGGTGGAAAGTTCTAGGTAGTTGTTTTTCTCCTAGTATCCAGCCTAACCCTGCCCTGGCCCAGCTCCAGCTGTCCCTTCGTGTCACAGGGAGCAGAAATGGGAGCTGCAGCCCCTGGTGAGTGTCCCCTCAGCTCTCCTCTGAGGCCCCTCCAGCCCCTTCCCCCTGCTCGTGTCCCTCCTTGGGGCACTTTCCATCAGCTGCGGAGCCCCCGGCAGCGGGCAGTGGATGTGGAGGCTGTGAGGAGCCTTTCTGCAGCAGCTCTGGGCTCTTGGGTTGTGTTTGGGGATGAGGCAATGCCCAATGATTAACCAGGAGGCAGGCTCAGGTGGGGCAGGCTCAGGTGGGGCTGGCGTTAAAACGGCGTGGCCAGGGAGCCCCGAGGCTCTTCAGAGCTGGGGACCCTCTGCTGCAGGAGCCTCCTTCTCTCCCGAGCTGGAACTCCCCCCCCAGCCCTGGTACAGGTGAGCACGCTGCTGCTTTTTACTCTCTTTTAATTTGGTTTTACCTTTCCTGCTCCGTCGTTTTCTGTGTTTCTCCAGGTGAGAGCACAAATCCGTTTTGTCACTTTTAAAGTGGTTCACCTTGATCAGCGATGCCACAGCTCTAATCAGGAGACATTTGAACACAACCAGTTTTAGTAATTTCCTTTTCATATTGCCATACCAATATGGTAGAAGTGTTACTCTGATTCTTTGAAAGAGCCCACTGAAATTCTGATGTTCTCTTCAGGTGTGGATTTATCTTCAGAATGGGATGGTTTAGAGAAAAACAGGAAACTTTAATTTCCACCTGTCGTTGCCCAAGTTTCATGCCTGGGTATATTTTTACGATATTAAAAGTGATTTTAAAGTGAAGCTGTTATAAATCTTCTAAAGCCTGGTATCCTTACAAGTGCATTTCAGGGTCAAGCCAAGGATGTGACTAATGGCAGCAGAGCTGTGGAGGATGAAGTGGGGCTTGTTTTGCCTCAGGCAAAACCAGACACGGCGCATTCTGGCTTTGGGTTGCAGAGTTTTCACTGCTGGTAGCACGGATTTGGCTGGTAAATGCCTGGACACCTGCTGGGAGCTGATTTCCCTGGGAGCAGGGAGCACAGCCAGGCTGGGTCTGTGCACATCCAGCTGTGCCCCGGTGTGTTCTGCATCTGAGCAGGCTCAGCCTGTCAGCTGGCCTTACATCCCCGCAGGACTGAGCTCTCAGTCTTCATCCTTCCACAAACTGCAGCTTTTTCTCAGTCTCTGCAGAAGTTACCTGTTGGGCAGGCTGCTGGAGAGGAGTGTAGGGGCTGTGCACAGCTGAGGATCTGGATAATTTTGGGTTTAGGGTCTAGTTCAGCATTATTGAGACAAACACTGCATGTGCAGTGGTTTGTGGCACACAGATTTGTCTTGGTGCTCAGCTGAATTCCAGGTGCTTGTGTGAAAATGGAATTGTGACAGTTGTGTATCAGAGAGCCAATACAATGTGCAGAAGTGCATAAATATACCCCTTTATTTATAGATATAGCATACCCCTTTATTTGTATATATGTAACATACCTCTGTGTTTGTATATGTACCTCTATATGTGTATAGATAATATGAGTATATTTGTAAAATATACCTCTATATTTGCATAGCTAATGTAAGTGTATTTTTGTGTATGTCACACACCTCTATATTTATATGTAATTCACCTCTAGACTTGTATATATCTAAAGTTTACCTTTATATTTCTGTATATGAAATATTCAATGTACAGTGCACAGCCTTTTGCATTTCGCTCACAGCACTGAAATCCAGAGGCTCTGCTGATCTCTGGGAAAGTCCCTGTGTAATTTAGCCTCAGACAATGCTGAAATTAATTTAAATATGAACGAGGACTCTCGGTGTGCTGAGAACAAGCCAAGCTTATCACTGCAGCACAAGGCTGATTGCACAACCCCAGCGGAACTGCTGGCTGTGGGACTGGCTCCCAGGGCTTGGAAGTGCCTTGGGAAATGGACCTGAGTGGGTTTCTTGGATAACAACTGGGTTTTTGGGAGCTGAATGGGACAAACAAGCAGTTGGAGTGAAGTTGTGTGAGCGTGGCGATGCCTGGCCTTGGGTGGATGGTTTCTCATGGAATATTTGAGTGAAACGCCTCCCTTCCTGTCCCTCTGCTTCTAAAAATCCCAAAATCCTTGAAACTTGCGTATTAATGTATTAGTTACTGAAATTAGAAAAGGTTTTCTTCAATGAAGTGGGGTTGAAGTTAGTTTGGCTGCATCCCAGCCTCTTTGGCGCTGGTGGTTGTGCCAACAGTAAATCTGCCTGGATAAAAAACTTAGGAGAGATCTGGTGCCAGGATAAATATCCACATAAATACTGTCTGCATCTTTGCAGGCACAAACAAAATTGGATTTGTGCTGTCTGAGCACCTCAGCTAAAGGAGTCTTCCTGCATGGTTTAGTTTGCGCATCACAGGTGGACAGGGAAACTTTCTGGTCATGCTTCCCCTTCTTCTCATCTCTACCCTCTAAAAAGATTTTTTAAAATGCTTTTAATGTCCATGTCAGGCAGATATTTGTGGCTTTTCAGTTATAAAATGGTTAATGATGCCTCTGCTAAATGAAGTGCCCGTGGCCACAGGGCAAGTGGAGTTTGTGGGAGGAGTGATGTCAACACAGGATTTCATCTAAATAATTCACTCAAGTACATTCATGGCAAAAGTGCATGAGCCAGTTGGATGAGTTCTTAGCTCTCAGTTCCCTGATGGAAAGCAGGACTGTGGTGTTCAGGGATTGCTCTGGCTATAAATGCTTGTCTGGGCCCTCGTTAAGGGCCCATCATGTCCCATTGCTGTGACACCACAGGCCAGGTTTTCCTGCTGCGTCCTTGGGCATAGCGGGGCTGTAATTAGCAGAGCTGATGAGGCTTTCCCTCCTTGGGATTCAGCTGGAATGAGCCAGCAGGTGCAGAAGGTGACAGAAAAGGTTTGGTACAAGTAGGTAGTGCTGGCACAGCCCGTTGTTCTGGCGGGTGGGACGGTCAGGTCTCTCGGAAGATTCCAGAAGGATGGACCAGCAGGAGGTGCCACGGCTGGACTTGGGCACTGCAGGTTTAGCTCCTGTGCCTGCATCAAGCCAGCCAGCCTGTGGCGTGCCTGTGGGGTTTTTTTTGGGATGGTTTTGATGGTGTAAACAGGAAAACACACATGGGATATGCTTCATCATAGCCCTAATGTTTACTTCCTAATTCTTTTTTTTTCCAGTTCGTTTTGGAAGTGGCTCACTGCTCAGATTGCACGGATATCAAGAGGTTAGTGCACTCCTCGTTTCCTAATGATGTGTTTGCAGCTGGGTGTAGTTGTCATATAAGTGCAGCAAAGTCAGGCAGAGCAGGGGCTATCAAATGTTTATTCCCCATCCCACCTTTGTGCTGTGGAGTGTTCCTTTGTTTTCCTTTCTCAGCTGAAATTATTCTTTTGACTTTTAAGAAAATGCTTTGATTCCCTGCTGGAATGCTGGAACAGACCCATCCCTGGAAGTGTCCGAGGCCAGGAGCAGCCTGGGCTGGTGGAAGGTGTCCCTGCCCATAGCAGGGTGTGAGATGAGATGAGATGGAGATGAGACGAGATCAGATTCAAGGTCCCTTCCAACCCAAGCCAGTCAGGGATTTTCTAATCCTGTGAATTTTGATACTCGGAGTCCCCTGCCTTTGTCTATAGGTTCTGGGTCTGCTGTGAGGGGTTATTTTGTTGGGGTTTTTTTTTTCCTTTAGGTGTCTCCTGCAGCTTTGTCTGAGGTGGGAGGTTCTGCAGCTTGTGAATCTCAGAGTCCTTGTGCAAGCAGGGAAGTCAGTGCTTAGAGCAGAGCGGGGTTTCAGCTCTGCCCTTTTCATGCTGCATTTCCCATCAGTGGACCTTGCTTTGCCCTCCAGGGGTGGGTATTCACCTCAGGCTTGGTTTTGTCCTTTCTTTTGCCCCTGGCAGTGCTGAGAGGCCAGTTTGGGGGAGCCATGGAGGAGCCTTCTGAAGCCAGCAAAGGCGCGGACGCGAGCGCTCACTCGCGCTTCATCATCGGCTCCGTGTCCGAGGACAACTCGGAGGATGAGACCAGCTCCTTGGTGAAGCTGGACCTGCTGGAGGAGAAGGAGAGGTCCCTGTCCCCTGCCTCTGTCTGCTCTGACTCCCTCTCCGACCTGGGGCTTCCCAACGCTCAGGATGGCCCAGCCAGCCATATGAGGTATGGATCAGTAGTTAAATCACAGTTCTTCATTATTAATAAAATAGTTAATGAAAGTTCTCCAGTCTTTTTACCCTGTCAGTTCTAAAGATATTCCAAAGGTTCAGCTTTATACCCGTGTTTGGCTTCAAGTGTTGCTCTGGCATTCTGTTTCTGAATGACCTCTTGTATGTTTATCTGTATCAAACCCTTTGATTTCCCTTTGCTTTTAGTGCCTAAATTCCTTAAGCACCTTGCCTGTCTTGGGCTTTCAGAAAAGAGAAGTGTCTTCACTGAGATATTTCAAGTTTTCACTTGTGTGTGGTTTTTCCAGGCCCTGTTTGTTGAAAGCAAGAACAATATTTGCCTGTTTTGTCTTTGCATGGGATTTGCTGCTTTCATTGTAGCCAAAGAATTGGCAGAGGGTAGGATCAGTGGCTCCATACTGGAATTTTTTTGGTTAGGATAGGGAAAATTGTGCTGGTTGTAGTAAAGATTGGAGTCCTGCAGTGTGGTGATAAACCAAGATTTAACTTGGTTTATCACCACACTGCAGTAATTAACCAAGATTGCTTGCTACTGCCTGAGCTCAGGGTTGGTCTCGGGGCTGCTGATCCCACTCCTGATTCTCTGTGAGTGAGCCATGAGCTGGGCTTTTGGGATCATGGTGATGGTGTTTCCTTGTCCAAAGGCCCCTTTATTTCAGGTGTTGTTGATTTGCATTCCAGTAGAGGATTGTGCCTGTGGGATTTTCCCTGTTGTTCTCTGGGCACTTCTCATGCACAGATCAGTTTCTCAGTGCCTGGGCAGTCTGGCTTCACTCTCCCATCTATCCTTCATTTAGTTGCCATATTGCAGGAGGTCTGCTCTTTCTGCCTTTTCCTTCCCATTCCAGGAGCACCCAGGACTGTGTGGATCCCACTCCATTTTTACTGGACAATCCCTCACTGCCTTTGCTTTGCTGCTTTTGAAGGAATGCTTGATTCCAGCAAGGCTTCCTGACCAGTGCTAGATGTTTACACAACCAGCTAATCCTTGCTCTTGTGTTTTGCTGGTTTCTTTGCTTGTGCAGGCTAAGGAGTTGTAATCTCTCCTTTTTTTTTTTGGAGTTTCCCTTCCCAGTTGAGGGAGAAGCCTCTGGGAACACACAGTCCCAAACCCCCAGGCTGGGGCAGAGGGGGGACATTGCTCTGTGCCTGACAGAGCTGTCCTGGTCAGGCTGCTGGGCACGTTCAGCCAGCTGGCACTTGCACAACTGATGCAAAACCTTAAAGCAAATTTACAGAGGGTTGCCTTTCCAGAGCCTGCCAGTTGCAGTGGTTTGGCAGCACAAAAGGTAATTTTGGAGCAGGAAACTGTAACTATATACAGCTTAGGAACAGAAGAAATTGGATGAGCACCTAACCACAAGTGTGTAAATGGAAATAACAGAGCAAGAAACTTGCAGGACAGTGTCTGGCCCCAGAGTGCAATAGGTGTGCAACCTTGGGCACCTCTGTTGTAACCTGCTTACTTTGGCAGTCCCTTTGGGGAACACTTGACTTTTGAGTTAAATTGGAGAGAAATGCCAATTCAAATAAAAAAGTTACAGCGTTATGGGCTGTTTTTCTAAGATAAACTCAGGTGAGTTGAAATACCTTTCAGGATGGTCATCCCTTTCATCAGGAGATTTCTAAATCATGTTTACGGATGGAGAAACTGAGACAAAGACAACAGCAAAGACAAGTTCAACAACTTGCCTGGAGTCACTGTGTGACAGTCAGTTAATGGAACAGAGGTGCTCTTGCTTCCAGCTTCCTTTAGGTGCTCACAAAGGTACCACACTTTGTAAGGTGATAAAGGAAAATTCACAGGCAGTTTGACACGAGGTCAGGTCCAAGGGAGCATATCTTTCGGAAGAAGTTGCCAAAAACCTTTCCATTCACTGGTGATTTTCCCACAGGATTAAAACAGAGATCTCTGTTGGGGTGAGGGGCTTTGCTGCAGAGCAGCCCTCAGGGAACAATGATGATTTAAACTCAGGATTTACTCAGCTGCCAAAGGGTCTGCGATGGCAGGTTTGTGTGACCTTATTGATCTTGTGGAGTGTTTATGCTGTTGCTAAAGGCACTCCTGCTGGGACAGGTTGTGCATTCTGGGCTCTCCTGCCCCTGGAGATCATGGAGACCTTCAGGTGTGCCAGCTGGCTGCTGCTCTCGAGGGTTAAAAATGAACTTTAAATTGCTGTGTGGATCATCAGTGCCCAAAAATTGGTGTGTGGGGACAGTAACCACTCAGACTGAGTCTTCAATGGTCTCTGTTGCTTTTTGAACCTTTCAATAATAAATCCAAGCCTGCCATTTGTTTTTCCTTTTTTTCTGCCTGTGTTGTCTCTGAGTGCAGAAGTTTCCATCAGCACTTCCAACCAGTCCTGCTGGGATACAGTTTTCCTTGGAGTTGCGGAGTTGCTGTGCTCCTTTCTGAAGTTTTAGTGGCAAATTAAGTTAATTCCTCCATAAATGCCACTTGGAAAGTACTTTGGGCCCATCTGTTTTGTTTAATAAATTGTTGTTGATTATTGCTAAATTTAATGTCTAGCTTCTGAGGTAGCGTGTGGGGACAGTAAGCACCCAGAGTGAGTCTTTAGAGGGTCTCTGTTGCTCTTTGCACCTTTCAATAATAAATCCAAGCCTGCCATTTGTTTTTCCTTTTTTTCTGCCTGTGTTGTCTCTGAGTGCAGAAGTTTCCATCAGCACTTCCAACCAGTCCTGCTGGGATACAGTTTTCCGACCTGTTGCAGAGTTGCTGTGCTCCTTTCTGAAGTTTTAGTGGCAAATTAAGTAAATTCCTCCATAAATGCCACTTGGAAAGTACTTTGGGCCCATCTGTTTTGTTTAATAAATTGTTGTTGATTATTGCTAAATTTAATGTCTAGCTTCTGAGGTAGTATCTTGTATCAAATTCTTGTTTAAAATAGAACAAAACCTGGATGTCTTCTGGTATTTGTACATCAGGGCTCTGGTTTCATAAGCAGTGACATGGGTGCACAGAGTCACCTGACAGTCCACTTGTATCAGCTGAAAGCCAAATATTTGGATGGGGTTCAGCTTTACCTCGTATGAAGCCCACAGAGTTTAGCTCCTTGCTCCTAACACTGGTTGGACTTCTCAGTGTCTCAATAAATTATGGAGATGCTTAAGCAGAACTAATCATCTGCTAAAGGAAATTTGGACAAATGCCTCAATTTTAGCCTGGGCAGCAGTGGTTGAGCGTGCCCAGCCTGGCACTGGGACAAGGTGCCTGCTTAGAGTGACTGCACAGAGCCCTGAACGTAATGAAAGATCCTTTTGAGCCTCTTCTGAATCTAAAAAAATTCCTTTGCAGCCCAGCAGGTTGTGGCTGGGAGGCTGCACTGAGGAGCATTGATGCTGTGGAGCTGTTGGTGCTGCTGTGGTTTTGGCCAGGCTGTGGGCAGGGAGGCACAAATGTGCTGTGGGGAAAATCCTTGCTGTTCCAGGCTGTCTGCAGGCTCCTGATCCCCCTCTGGCTCTGCCTGTGCTGTCAGGTGGTGCTGGAGGTTCTGTGTGGGGTGATTTGAGAGGAAGGAACACTTTCCTCTATCCCAACCTGGCTGTGGATGCTCCCAGGGATGGGGCAGCCCCAGCTTCTCTGAGCAGCCTGTGCCGAGCCCTCCCCACCCTCACAGGGAGGAATTTGTGCTTAATTTCTAATCTGAACCTGCCCTCCTTCAGTTTAAGGCCATGAACTTCATCCACCTGGAGTGAAAAGTTGACTTCCTCCTCTCTCTGTTGAAAGAAAAGGAGGTGGTTTGGCCTCCTGGCTGTGCCTGCTTGTACTGATAAGGTGGGAATTACACGTGGGAATTGCAGCTCCTTCCTTCCCTGACAGCTGCTCTGCTCCCTGAGCAAACACACTGTGTAGCTCTGCTTGCCTCTCAGCAGTTGTATTCTTATTCTGGTGTTATTTTACTCCCTTTAGCCTCAGTTAACAGAAGTGTCCTCTCTAAATTCAGTAATTTGTTGGGAGGTTCTGCAGAGATTCCCTGGCTGTGACACCCCAGCGTGACAGCCACGTGCTGGCTTATCTGATCCTTCTAACGGAGAGATAACCAATCTCTTACTCTGGTGAATTTAATGAGACTCCCCCACCTGCCCCTGCCTGGTATAAAAGGTCCATTCTCGTGTTCCTGCAGATCAGATCTGTCCAACACCTGAACTTTGCCAAGGAGCACGGGGAGGGCTCCCTGCCAGGGACTCCAATTCCTTCCACTCTGCTGCACAACTGTCCTGTGCTGCTGCTGTTGTGGTTGTTCACTTTTATCTTGGTGCCAGGGCTTGTCCTGGAGAGCTTTGAGCTGTTTGCTGCTCTGGGAACGTGTGGAATTTTATACTTCATGAGGATGGAAAAGTGAAGCTCTTTTGGTACTCTGTAAGTTTAGGAACTGGAGTATGGATATTAATTGGATTTAAACTTGGCTGTTTATCTGGATTGATGTGTGGATTCAGTGGATGTTTCCAGTGTCAGGGTGTTGCTTTTGGACTTGCAGGGAAGCTCAGAGGTTTGGGCTGTGTGTCCTGGAAATGGTCCTGTTCCAAATGCACCTGGCATGGCAGGTGAGCAGCCAGGTGTGTGGCTAGGAAAGGAACTTTTGGCAAACTTTTAGCACTTGGTTAACTGGGAGGAATCCTGGCAGCTTGTACCCATTTGGGCTCTGCAAAAATTGCAGCTGTAGGCTAAGGACCTGCCTGGAGTGATGCTGGCATTCTGTGTTAGCATGGTAGGGAGGTTATTTGCCAGGCAGTGAACAGAGGGCTGCTTCTGTTCTGTGCTGCATCCTTGATTTAATTCCCTGAAATCCTCAGGCTCAATTCGTGTCAGAGCTGAGTCAAGTTTCATTTGTTTTGACCTGTAGGTGAAGCCCTGGTTTTGACAGTGTCTGTGTTCAAGGCAATTCTGGCTCTTTAAAACATGGGCAAAACTGTCTTTGACAGGGTGCAGATTACTGCCTGCAGAGCCTGTGC